AGAAGCCCACCTCCGCGCCTTCCTCCTAAGCCCGCCTGCCGCTGCGGTACGCAGGCTGCCACCGTCTGCAGGTCTCATTCCCAGAGCCATCGCGTAGATATCAGTGAATATCGAGAGGGGTTTATTTTGTTGCCCCCCCCCCCCCCCCCTCTTTTTTTTTTTTTTTTTTCGTAATTCCTTCTGCTCTGGTCCCCTCGAGCGGTGGACTTTGAAGCTTAAACCTGTGAGCCGTGCTGTGGGGATGGCACGGACGGCGCGTGCTGCCACGCTGTTGTACTGGCTGACAGGGTCTTCGTCTGGTGCTGTAGTCCATAACCACCATCAGGTAGGAGGGAGTGCACAGATAACACTGGCTCCTGGTGCACCGAGTCTTGAGGTGAGGCTTGGAGCAGGGGAAGAGCCCTGCAGACTTGCTCTACTCCACGCAGAGTTAAACTGGTTACTCTTAAAAAAAGGCAACAGAGCCAAGCCCCACGCTTGAGAGCCTGTGTACATGTGATGAACGTGCCACGAGTTCCTTGCAAGCGCAGGAGAAATAATAACGACTTACCTTCGGGGGTTGCAACGTCTGTTTTTTTTTTTTCAGCAAAGTGTTTAAGCGTATCTGTTCACACCACCACCCTGTCATTTCCCTTAGGGACAACTGACACGAGGACAAGCACGTCTTTCCACTGTCTTAGTAGGCCCTCGGGGGAGAGAGGGGGGCTCACCGCTGTGCAGAGGCTTCACATCCCCAGCCAGCTCTCCCCAGCCTGTGCGTAACACGCCGTCTCTCTTGCTCTCGCTGTAATTCTAGGGTAGCTCCACCTCTTCCACTGGTATCTGGCACTCAACCTGAGAACGCGGTCAGTGGTGGTCAATAAAGAGATATAGGAAACACGCAATTGGCTTTGGGGGTTTCATTTGTTCCTTTCTAGGGCTTTTGAAGTTGAGAGGTTAGTGTGGTGCCTAACGCTGCCTGGAGAAAGCGCTTTCCACTGTTGGAAGTACATTTTGTGATGATGACTTGCCCTTTCTTTCACGTTCCTCTTCTCCTTCAAGCAAGAAAAACAAAAGGATCAAAAAAAAGAACAAAATTCGACAGCCCAACAACCACACCATTTCTTAAGTCCATTGTGTCAGTAAAGGTGGCAATGCAGAACTCATTTGCGTGAGATAATATGAAGGATTTAATCTGAAATTAAAGCTGTTTGATGGTGGGGTGGGTAGGGCATAAGTACTAGCTCTCCCTGCAATTGCCATGCATGAAATTCATGGCTCCTGAGCCTGCATAGATGTGAGCGCTCAAGATTGAAGGTTTCAGCACTCATGTTTGACTCAAACAGCTTTCCATGCAGATGGAAATCCGGGGCATTTAGGAAAAGCATAGCATCACTGACAACCCCTCATCCCCCTCAACCCTCCCAGCTTGGACAGTGAGTGCTTTTCCTCTTGGTAGAGATCTTCACATCCAAGACCTGCAATGCGAAATGGAGCTTCTGAGGTCCACCTTGGCTCCTGAGGTCACCGCTTCCCTAGGAGCAGACACAAGTTCGTTTCAATCGACATGTCTCTGGGTGCTCTCGGATCACGCCTACAGAACACAGCAGGGCGACAACAAATCAAGCACATCCTTCGCAGCAAAGAGCACAGGTCCGTTCCCTCACTGGGAGGTGAAGACAGCTGGAGGAAGAGTGTTTGCTCTGCCAGAAAGATGAGCCCACCAACCTCCTCCACTTTGCTGCCGATCAGCTGTGAAAAAGGAAGAAAATATATGCAGGGTTTTTTTCTCATGGCATGATTTAAACATTAATATGAACAATATTAATATGAGCCATAAACACAGAAGCTCTGGCCCTATTTAAGATTAAAAAGCACTTTCTTCCACCACATCTAGGCCAAAACCCAGGGAGGGCTGGGGTTCAGGAGCAGGATGTTGCCCCTTATCTGGAGAAAGTGAGTGTGCCCCAGGGCTCAGCCCTGTCCCTGCCTGAACCCCCTGAGGCCAGGGGTGCGGGGAGCGTTTCTGGGACCAACATCACAGCATCTGTGGCAGAGCCCGCCGGGAACAGGGCGGCCGGGGGGGAGCCAGGGAGAGGGGCAAGGCTGCAGGAGGGGGCAAGTGCCACGGAAGCAGGGGTGAGAGGGAAAGGAGGGAGGATACTGTCTGGTAATTAGAAAGCAAGGAATCCCCTCGGCATCTAACACGACTTTAAATGTATTTTTTATTGAGATTGGGCAATCCCAAAGCTTTCTACCAAAAAATGTGCAGCCTGTTGCATTTTCATCTCCAGGGGAGAGGCGTGAATGAGTGCGTTTGGGGAAAGGGCAATTTCGTACCAGGAGAGAACCGTTGCTACAGGCAGGGAAAGGGCGTTTTAGGAGAAGCTGCCCCTC